GCAACAGCCCCTTTCCAGGCACATTTTATCTGGAGAACATAAACTATTGGGCTTTTAATGTATGTTTTAAATGCTCCTAAAATCTCTATGAACTGAGTTTCAAAATAGGCTCAAGAGGACTACAAAACTTGCTTCAGACACCAAACTCCTGAGTACTTAAAGACCCTAGATGCAGACTTAACTGTTGAACTCCATAGCTGCAAGACTTTCCAACAGGTTGTGACTCTTTTTGGTCACTAAAGGAATCATTACCATACGCAACCCATCCACATCTCATCAGAGAATGAGGTGGCACTTTCTGGGTGAAATATGCAGATACCACCTTTACAGGTTTTTGGGGGTGTGGGGAGAAGCAGGGAGGAGACCAGAGAAAAATGTAGAGCTCAATAAAATAAAAAAAGAAAGTGATTTGCAATAGCCATGGATCCTGGCTATTTGCAACTACAAACATACTCTCTTGAAGAGGAGAACATTTTAAAGTTGCTACTTTAATGCCTCAAACAATCCCCTTGAAGCCTAGTTCACTTGTTTTTCCAGAATTAACCGAGCCCTTCTAGTATGCCCTGTCCCAGCCCACGCTCAATGCTGCTTGGATTCTGCAGAACACCATGAGGCTCAGCACCTGTACTGCCATGGGAGCTCCTTGTGTCTGTGAGCAGTGAAGAGCCTGCAATCAAGAGAGCTCTGAGTTCTTTTGCGTCACTGGATCATGGCAAATGTGCTTAGATTAGTCTATTTGCATGCCTGTTTCCAAATTACCTTTCATCAGGGCGAATTTCAACAGGAAAATGGAAAGTATAGGAATGCATTTTACCTCGCTGTCCCTGAGTACTTCCTTCTATTTATGGAGGTGGTGATCAGTGGCTTCCGTACTTGCTGGGAGCAGGGGAGGCAAATGGTTTAGATTCTGGCCTCTGATATGAGATTATAGATGCTAACCAAAAAGTCAGTACCACTTTGAAACTTCATACCTATCTTTCTCTGCATTCTGCCCGAGGGAGCCTCCTAGAACATAGGATAAACTCTAAGGTAACCTCTATGTCAAGCTATGTTTAAAAAGTAGCATTGTTGCCTTATAGGAATATGGAGACCTTAGAACGGATCACATGATCATTGTTCCTGTGAGGGTTGATTGCTTAGAATCCAGGCCACAATGGGAGGGGAAAACTAAGTGGGAAACAGAAAGGGACCATATTGGTGAGTAAGTACTACATCTGGTCCTGTGTGCACAGGATGGCCTTACCTTAGTCTTACCAAGCTGGTCGTTCTGGAATGTTCAGTTGCTGTGATCAGAATTCTCACTCCTTTCAGCAGACTCTGAGGATGGGGCTCAGACTTTCCATGACCTGACCTCAGGCTCCCTAGCTGTCATCCCAGGCGCCCTCACGACACTGAGAGAATTAGCTGCCAACAGTTCTGAGAGCCAGAGTTCATAAACTGTGTTATGAATTGTTTATGTTCTCTGGGATGGGAAAGAAGTCACTTCCAGGCCAGGTCATGGGACACTCAGACACTAGACCCTGAAGTCACAGGAAAATGCCCTCAGACTCCTCTGCCCAGCCTCCCTTGGGCTGTTGCAGCCATCACTCTTCTCACAGGACAGTTTGACTGTTGGGCACGGTGTGAGTTGACTGTTGACCTCTGTGCTATGAACTGGGCAGGGCAGTCTTGGGTACAGAAGGTAATTATTTAAGCCTGGGAAATAACTGAAAGCTTCGTGCTTTGAAACACAGAGTTTCACACTCATTCATTCATGAATGCATGCATTTGGTGATCTTCTTTTTTTATTCATTCAACAAATGCTAAATACCAATCCTAACAAGCACTCTCACGAATAAGAATTGAATCACGGGGGCTGGAGAGATGGCTCAGCGGTTAAGAGCATTGCCTGCTCTACCAAAGGTCCTGAGTTCAATTCCCAGCAACCACATGGTGGCTCACAACCATCTGTAATGAGGTCTGGTGCCCTCTTCTGGTTTGCAGACATACACGCAGACAGAATATTGTATACATAATAATTAAATAAATATTTTTAAAAAAGAATTTAATCACACCCTATTGTGCTGTGTCCCTCCAAACTGGATGTAACAGAAAGCTCACTTGTTAACACACCCCCAAGTAAGGTCTGGAATCAGAGTTCCCTGCCTTGTCTTGGAAGCCAGCGCTGGAGATTCATTTCCATGTTCAAAAAAAAAAAAAATCCGTCTGCCGTTGCACTTCTAAAAACTCCTGGTACGTTTTGACGCTCAAAGAATTACAATGGTACTTTTATAGGGCATCAGTTACTCTCTAATAGGCTCGTGGCAAATAACCACATCATGGATTCAGATGTAAGAGACAGAACTGCTAAGTAACCTTACGTTGTTAAAATTCTTGACCCACATAACTACGCATTACCAGTTAAGTTGTGGAGTCTGCGGCTTTGGCATATAATTGTACGGATTAAATAACCTTAATGTGTAATTACATGAAAATAAACCATGTAGCTTAGCTAAATTGAAGTGCAATTGTTATCACCGAGTGTAAGTCGATACCAATTAAACCTTCCCTGCAAACTCCACAAATTAAGATTTAACTACTGAAGAAACTCTAGAATGTAAAGTCACGGTACACCCTGGCTGAAATATCCCTGAGTATTTTTGGAGGGTTAATGGCACTTCTGAAATTAAAACCAGCTTTCTGCCTTAGTGCTGTGTTAGTTTTGCCTTATGGAGGAAAGTTTCAAACAGGCACCGATTTACGTCTTAAACGCAGTGCAGCAAAACCTCAGGATCTGCAATGCCGGCGGAGAGAGAGATTGTGAATTCTTGAGCTTATGTCAAGCAAATAGTTCATCTTGGTGGGTAGGATTTAAGACAAGGAAGAGTAAGCTGGTGGCGGTCATAATTCTGAAAGTGTGGACAGTTTGTGTAACAAAGGTGTTTTGCATCATTCGGTCAGATAAAATGGTAACAATTAGCAGTGGAGCTCAGGGACCGCAGTCTCTCATCTGCAGAACCCTGGGTTGGATCCCAACAAAGAGAGAGAAAGGAGGGATAAAATGGCTTCTTTCCTTTTTCATTCTTCCCACACGGACTAAGTCAGTCACCAAAGAGTTTCTGGACTCCCGTTTCCTCATCATCAAAAGGAGGAACAAGAGCCACACAGAGAAGGTGGTTCTAAGGCTTTCATGAAGTCAGGACAGTGAAAGGGCCTTTGCCGTACTTTATGTGACGCAGCAGTAGTGAAATGCACAGATTTCTTTCTTCTTCGTGGGTCTTTTCGTATCTTAGACTGAACACTCCTACAAGGAGCCGTGAGCTGGGGTCTGCATTTCCAGGTAACCAAACTTATAATATTGACACAGGGCACTAAATTGTTTTTGAGACATAAAAAAAATTACACTACTAATGAAAGACTTTAGTAAGGGTCACTAAACTTTTAGAACTGGTGGTATGGTTTGGTTTTGTTTTTCTTTTGTTTTGTTTTGTTTTTTGTTTTGTTTTGTTTTGTTTTGTTTTGTTTTTAAAGCAGACTGTTGTATATTTAAGAAAAAGTATCTGTGAAGAGGCTGCAAACATTCCCATCACGGCCTTTGGATGATACCTGCACATTCTTCTTCATGAGCACCTCCAGACTCCAGATGTTCCAAGTAGCTCTTCGTCTAATTGTGCCTTCTGACGGCACCTAAGCAAATACATCAGAACTTGTTCAACATTTAGCAAGTGCAAGTTGAAGATTTTCTTTCTGTTAGACAAACAGACGCCATCTGGAAAACATAACCCCAGGCATTTGGACAGGGAGGCATAAAGCTTATTGGATGAACACCCAATGAACACAGAACACTACTTTCTTTGGCTCCTCCACTCTGCCTGCGCGTTTCAAATCTTACACACTGTAGCAGGCGCTGTACAGTTAGACAAGAGAATCTTTGTTACCCACGCACACCAACCTTGAAGGCCCCTGGAATATGAAAGATTGACTTGTAAGAATTATCCGGGCCAGACTGTTTCCTTTCCTATTATGACACCTGTTTAACAAAATAAGTTCTTTCTGACCCTGTATATTGATGTTAATAGCTAACAATGTTTATTCAGCTCCCTCTCCCATTTTCAACTTTTCCCATATTCTCTTCTTAAGCAGGCTTGTCTTCATATACCCTCTCTCTTCCTCTTCAATCTCTTCCTGTTTCCAAGCTACGTCATAAAAGAGCAATCTCTGGTGTGTTAATGTTATTTATCTTACTGATTAAATTTTATTTCACAATCATTATTATATAGTATTAATACTGTTTGTGTCTTTCACAGTGGAAGGGGATGAATTTAAATGGTTGCAGTGTTATCGGCCTTTAGGAGAAAAATCAAATAAATGTTCACAGAGGTCGTGAGAACAAATCTTCACGTTTATTTTGATGGTAAAAAGTTAGTGGCAAAGTTAGCATCTAATAGCATTTTAAAACTGTAACAAACTTTCAATGAATACACCCTTAGGCACAGACTTAGCTTACTTCTTAACTAACAACTTCTTTTTTTTTTTTTTAATTATAAGCTGTTAGGTTTTTCACACTGAAAAGCAACTGCCCCAGACTTCTGGAATTCATTTTTACTACATCCCATAATCTTAGCAGTAGGGAGTCTAATGAAACATGTTTGATCAAACCGTTTTATAAATTGCCACAATTCTCAAGGGGAAAAAAAAGGTATTCAGTTAGATTAATACTCTAAAAAATTTGAATGGAATCATTGAAATCTGGTTGAGTTCAACTTCCTAGGAAAACAAAGCCACATAACAGAGGCAGGTTTTAGACCAAAAGAGGATGTCTCAGGAGCAGAGGATGTAACACTGGCATCTTCGTCCATACATAAGAGACACAAAGCACCAGGGTGATCCCAATGTTTGAATATCTTAGCCAAATCTGTAATGCTTCTGGTAGGTATCACCAGAGGGCCACTGTGCCCCTGCGCTTGACAGTAGTGACCAAGTGGATGCTAACAGCCATCTGTGTAACTCCTGTCTTTCAGTCCTACCCTGGCCCAAGTCTGGAAAGTGAAGACTTTAACATTCCACCCATTACACCTCCTTCCCTTCCCGACCACTCTCTGGTGCACCTGAATGAGGTGGAGTCGGGGTACCACTCACTCTGTCACCCCATGAACCACAACGGCCTGCTCCCGTTCCATCCGCAAAACATGGACCTGCCAGAGATCACCGTGTCCAACATGCTGGGCCAGGACGGCACACTGCTCACCAACTCCATCTCTGTGGTAAGAATGGGCGTGTCTAACTGTGCTGGGCTTGGATGGCACAGGAAATGCAAGGGAAAGCTCCATGCAAGGGTCTTTAAATCGTGTTAAGGGCCTTCTAAAACCAGGGAGAGGTTTGAGCTACAGCAATGGTCTCTGTAGATCCTGCAAATTTCTAAAGTCATTTTTTTAATTATTTTTGCATTGAAATCAGTGAATTACTTGTGTAATCTCTCATATTTGTCAAGGTTCCAAATACTGTTGATGATGCTGTTAGGAAAAAATGGCTTGCAAGATTCCAGATAAAAGGTCACTATTGGCAGTATCGCTTCTGGGCTCATGTTGGGTTCCTAGCAACAAGTGAGATGCCTGCATCCTCTGGGCAGTGCCCGATGTCAGCCTCAATTTTGTTATTTGCTCTCTGAGGTTCTGCACGTTTGCTTTGAAGAGTAGCAAGGAAGCAGTTGTTTTGTTTCTGCTTTGGAAGTGGAATTCTATTGATTGAATGCTCTCCATCAAGATGACTCAGCCAGCGGGGCATTCTGTTACTTTAAAGTGTCCAAAGATGAAAATCTTACCCTCTAGAAATTAGCAAAAGGTCGAGTTCCCAGGCCCTCCTGTGAAGTCCGGACTTCCATATTTCTAAGGAGCATCTCATAATTGAGAAACACTGGCTTATCAAAAAGACCTCATTCTGATTTTTAATGTCGTCTACAAACATAATTTTGGTCTAAGCTCCAAGAAGTGGGAACAAGGGAGGTCATTGGTGTTGCAGGCTGGGGAGAACAGGACGGGCACCAAGCCTACCTCATAGGTTAACAGTGACGTTTCATTCATGTTCCTGGGCTTTCGTTGGTTGACCAGTTAGCAATCCAGTTGTCACTCTCCTGTCAACACAGGGTCACAAGGAACAAGCTGAGAACACTGTTTCTGAGTTCTTAAAGAGTGTTCCCTACCACAGGTCCCCCATGTGTGTAGAAATGGCTTTGTGTTGTGTGGCTTCACGGGAATTCTTCTGGTAAACATTGAGTGTAAGGGGATTGGGATGGCTGACAGGATAGTCGAAGGAAACCCCAACAGGGCTTTTCTGGAAAACCTAACACCACACAGTGGACAGGACTGAATCCGGCCTCTATAGACACAGCCAAGAGGGGAAAACTCATTTGTGGTATTATCAGAAGTGAGAAACATTACCATCACCAGACTGTCTACATGATATTCCTCCTAAAAATTGAAGTTGGATACTTAAAAATGCACGCATATATGTAAATCTGAAGAAATGTGTGCCAACATAATCATCATCTTTTAAAAAATTTAAGTATGGACTAATTTATTTTTATGAGTCTACGTGTTTCCCTCCATAAATGTCTGTATCTCATGTGTATGAAATCCCCAAGGAGGCCAGAAGAGGGCATGAGATCCCCTGTGCCTGGAGTTATAGGAACATTTTTATTTCTTTTGATTTTATAATCTTGACATAGATTGCATGTACCTGGTGGTCACTGCCTTATGAAGTATTGATCTAGTAAGTGGTTGCAGGGGAAACCTGGAAGAACTTTGCTGGGATAACAGTGAGGACAGAGATGGGGTGAGGGCCAGGACGCCATGACTGCTTCATCCCCAAGTAGATATGGATCTCAAGATGAACAGCTCCTTTAAGCCCCCATTTTAATTATTAAAAAAAAAAAAAAAACAAGGATCACTTTCTTTGGAAAAGACCAGATGTTAAGCTTCCTGCTCACACATCATCATACTTCCTGACAAGAACCAAAAAACTCTTTCCTAGGAATGTAGCCCCGGCCCATAGGGTCACAGCCCACCACACAGTTCAGCATCACGCAGGGGCATGTGCTCAACTGTGGATCACAGAGGACCTCCACCCACACCTACCCAAAGTCCATGCAGCAGCTAGAAAATTCACGGGAAAAATAAACGACAAAAGCACGCATACAATTCAACATCACACATGTGAACACACATTGATTGCAGAGCATCACAGAGACCCCCGTGTGGTCCACAAACATCATGTGCCAGCTCGAAAATTCACTTTAAAATCAAGCAAAGCAGCCACAGAACTTCAGTGAGGTTTCCATGCCTGGAAAGGTGTTCACGCGTAAGGGGAGCTTGGGTTAAGGACACAATAGCTGCAGGGCTCAGATGCCATGTGCTCAACAAGCCTGTTCCTGTGAGATTCTTTCAGAAGGGTTAAAAAAATGTGTGGAAGAGGGGAAAAAATTCAGAGTGAAAATCCTAGAAATTGTGATGTTACTTTGGAGATCGCTCAAGATCTCCTCCAACAGCGACACAGCTGATAAGAGCCAACATGTGCAGATTCTCAGGGAGGAATTTGCTATGAGTTTTGGAAATCTGATGACTGGGAGCCACACAAGGCGGTTTAGAGAAGAATCAACTAGCCCCAACTGTATCTTACAGATGTAAGTTCACGGAACCTGATGCTCTTACAGCCGTGATCCCAACTTTGTATTAGCGTTTTTCCCATTCCAGAACTTTAGTATTTGAATGAAGGAAGGAGACGGAAATACTTTAGTTCTTATTCAGAAATTGTATATATTTTAGATATTGTGATGCTCACTGTAAATACATTAATATATATCATAAACATTACTGTTTGAAATGTTATAATGCATAATCTTTAGTGAGAGCGTATCTTAAAGTTAAATTTTTCTCGTTATATATTTTGTTTCTAATTGCTACTGGCAACAGAAGTGCCAGTCTCGCTGTTAATAAGAGTTTCCTACAGTTATCTAACATGTTAGACACAAAACATTTAGTTCATAGCTAAAAATATATATCTGTAGGAAGCATTAGTGTGCCGGTTTTACCAATAAAAAGTGGGGGCTTTGAGTTCTTCAGGGGGTTCTCAATGGCTCAGCTGATAAAGATTCTTGGTTCATCTTCTGGGAAAGTGGGGACAATGGGTCTTACCTTGTGGGGTTAAAGGAGTCTGACAGATTGCTGGGACCACTCACCGGCGGGCAACACTTAGGATGTAAGCACTGCTTAGATAAAATGGTTTTCCCAAGTATCTGCCCATGTGACTCTTTCAGGGCAGTTAAAAAGTTAGAGTGAAGACTTTTCTAAGAGTTATTTATACTTTGATCCTGAATCTTCTTCTGTCAAAAAGACAGAAGCAAGCCGGCTGTTCACTAAAGGCGTCTTCCCTTGCTTGGAGTACCCTTGTACATCACTGCAATAACATCGCTATCCTTGAGCTGAATTGCCTCAGTTCAAATCCTGGGGCTTCCACCTTAATGCTGTGCAACCCCAAGCCACTTAAATAATATTTCTGTGCTCTCGCATCCTCACCTATTACACGGCTGTAGCTGACTGATACTCCAGCATCCTCACCTGTTACACAGCTGTAGCTGACTGATACTCCAGCATCCTCACACATTGCATGGCTTTAACTGGGTGTGGTAGACCAGGGCTGTAGGCCCAAGTGCTTCTGAGGCTGAGAATGGAGAATGATGTATAACCAAAAGTGTGGGGCCAGCCCGAGCAATATGAGTGATACCTCATCTTCTAAAACAACAGGCATAAAATTAGAAGGACATAAATATAATATTGAATCCCACAGTGTGGTAACTATTAAGGTAATCATTAATCATTATGGTAGGTTATAACCGTTAAATGGTATCTGATTCACAATAGGTTTAAGTCTGTTCTACCAAAATGCCTTTCAATGTATAAACTTTTTCACCAGAGTAGAAAATGTGTATTGCCTTCTATAATTTTCCAAAGTCCTACACAGGGTACAGCACACACAAGGTGAAGGTTCAGCCTTCCCAAATTTTCCTCCATTTATTTCTGTATTGAAAACTCTTGCCTGGGCTATTTTATGGTCCCCTTGGACTCCTTAGCCAGTAGTTATTCAGAGCTCCAGCAACAACTTAGGCTTTGGCACTCCTAAAATGCTTACATATTCTTAAAGTCTGTCTGTACCAAGAACAGGCTATAAAGCACATAAATTTCTGTAGAACACACTGGTTGGTGGGCATCAATTAATTCTCATTCTCTACGCTCACATTCAGCAGCCACTCAAGACCCAATAGGCAAGGGCTCCAGTTCCTCAAACGTCCCCTGAGATGGTTTCATGGTGGGGATCTAATCTGCCTGCACTTCTTGAGAAGTGTGTCTGGTTGGAGACGCAGTTGGTGTGGGCGGGAGAGTCAGATGGGTGTCTTAACCCCCAGCAAGTCTTCCTGTTCTTCACACCAACAGGGGTGGATTTGCCCAGCCGCACAAGCTCAGCTGCCTAGAGCCGAGAAGGGCAACTCTAAGGCAATGAGGCAGAGTTTTCCTCGCGTTTCACTTAGATCCGTTTCTTATAAAAAGCATCCTTGAACAAAAGTTCCTCTCCCCAAGGCAGAAACCCGCTAGTGGATGATGGAGGGTCGGAACCCTTCCAGGCTGCCAGTTTCCTGATTCCTTCTGAGACTACACACCCCTTGTGCAGACTCTTAAGAGTCACCAGACTAAATTAGCCATTTGTCTTCTTGCTGTGGCATAATACCTGGCAAGCACAGTTGAAACCGGGAATGGCTGATTTTGGCTCACAGTTTGAGAACACAGTCCCCCATGGTGAAGATTGTGCGGCCCTAGGCACCTGCTGCTCCAGTCACGATGTATCCAGACAGGAAACAGAGAAATGTGGGTGCTCAGCTGTGTCCTTCTTTCCATTTGGTCCAGGACCCAAGCCAATAGGATGATGCCACTCACATTTAGGATGTGTCTTCCCACCTCAGCTCACTCTAGAAACTCTATTACAGATCCTCCTTGAACAGTGGTTCTCAGCCTGTGGGTCGCCACCCCTTTGGGAGTTCATACAGCAGATATTCACATTACGATTCATAGCAGTAAGCACAATTACAGCTATGAAGTAGCAATGAAATAATTTGCTAGTTGGCAGTCACCACAGCATGAGGAACTGTGTTAAAGGGTTGCAGCATTAGGAAGGCTGTGCACCACACTGGCCTTAAAGTTTATCGTCTAGATGACTC